AAGGTGAGGGTTGCTTTATTCCTCTCTGGGGCGCATTTCCACACAGGGTGAATTCCCAGGCAGCCTCTTCCTTTGCATTATCCGCCAACTGTTACAACTAAAATAAAGAAAGTCATTCCATGGAGCTGCACGCGGAAATATTAAAAATAAATAAACAACCCTCACTACCCCACAGCAGACAGGGAACGCTCCCACATTCATCGGTCAGGTCGTTTGCATAACAATCATCAACATGCGATCCCCCCCCCCATTCCCACCCCACCATCAACCCTCCCATCTCGTCGCTCCCTCCCTCCCCCCAGCACATCACAGCTCCTCCTCCCTATTCTTATAACCCTACTGAGAAAATGTATTAATAGCCAGGATACCCAGGCAAAGAGGGAAGACGGAGGTGACAAATGCCGAGGGAAAAGGGCAATTGGAGTGCTAAAGACATGCAAATCAGGGGTGGGAGGGCGATACTACCTATAAGCAGAGGGCATTTAAACATTATGAAATGTGTGAACAAATGCTGCCTAGGCATGCAAATGTTGTAAAGTAGAAAACAGCAATGGCCCTGTGAAGAAAATGCACAGGAAATTAGCAAATGAAGTACTGGGGAAAGTCTACAATGGACCCGAGTACAAACTGTAAGCAAGCACAATGCTACTGAGGGCTAAGAGACTGCCCACATACAATCTGCACTAAAGAGGCAGGGGAAAAAAGACTACCAGCTGCCACAGTGTCCTTCTGTGTCTGCGGTCATTAGTTTGAATCCCAGCACAGCTGGCTCAGTTAGGCTCTTAATTCAATGGACCAAGGACAGGTCTCAATTGTACAAGCCATTTGGTGGTGGTGTTTGAGGGGGAGGGGGTAAGAGAGTGGTGGTGTACTTGTTCTAAAGAAAGACAGGAAAGAAATATGCAGGTTTTTGTTTTGTTTTGTTTTTTTAAGAGATACAAGCAATGTCACAGGTTTGTAACCAAGTGCTTGCAGCCTCTGTAAGAATATCCCCGATCTTTTCTAATGGAGATTGTCTCTTCCCAAGACAAGAGGCAAGCATGGGACGTTTGAAAAAGGAGGTCCCAGTGATTTTTACATTGAGTCAAGGGTATTTTTTACCCAAAGAAACAACTGTTAAAATAATTTTCCTCTTTTTCTTTTTGTTTTTTAAGGAAAGTTTAATGTTAACTGGATATTTGCATTGGCTTCATTTCTTACAGGCCAATCTGATGCTTTAGGAGGAGGGGGTTTTAGGTGCTGGTTATAGAAGGAGAAGTGCAGTACACCGTTTTAAGAGGTAAAGCAAAAACACAAAGTCTGCAGTAACAAAACAAAACAAAAAACACCCCAGTTTCTTTCTTTGTTTCCAGATTGTGTGTGTGTGTGTGTGTGTGTGTGTGTGTGCCAGGTTCTTTATTGTGACAGCTTTGGAAATCCACATATTGGTCTAGAATGTGGAGTTGAGGGATTCTCTAAATGGGGGCCCAGTAGACCCAGCTAACAGATTCAGAGTTCAAAAATGGATATCAATTATAGTAATTATGCTTATAATTAGATTAATGAACCATTTATGCCCAAACTCCAAGAGCAAAAACTTCAAGTCTTACTGTGGAGGTGCCTAAAAAGAAGAGTTTATGTAAACAAATCCCTATTAGGCAAAGTAAATCAAGATAAGGAACCTCACCCCAGGCTGGATTAGAAGCTAGCAGGCATCTTTCAATCACAGCAAGTCCCTAATCACTCTGGAACCACCTCTGTGGTTTCGCATTAGGGAAAACTGCTCCCTTCAGAGGTCTAAAGGCAATACAAAGGGTGGCCCCCAAGTGCTCCCAGCTAAATAGTCCTGATGCTTGGGGCAGGGGGTGGGGAAAACACAGCAAGAACATGCATATAGCTTCAGTTTCTTCAAACCACATTGTAGCTGCAAGACCATAATAACTGCTACTCTGTAAAAACTAGTTATGCCAACCATGCGTTAGATATCATCACACTGAGTGGAGGGGACATTTCAACGTTTTAGTCTTCTGACCTTGTTCCAAATAGAGAAATAATTTAATGTCCCATTTTCAGAGTATTAGAGTGTGCTTCCACACAGAAGCTTCCTTGCTTTTCTTATTGCCATCACCACCACCCCCTTCCCCTCAAGGCTTAATACCACCAGAAACTGTAAAAAATGATTGTGTCCACTATCCAGGTCATTATCGTTTAATCAATGCATCTCTGGGGCATGAAAAAGGTACCTAAGCCACAGCTATTGTTTGGATTTTCTTTAAAAAACAAAATAAAACACACACAAATAATTATACCAAAGCTAGATTAGACACCCATACTTCATGATCCTTTGCCTTTAAACAATGTGACTGTACATGCCTAATATTGTAGGTCTGGTCTACCAGAGACACAGAGATCAAAGGTCATATTTAACATTCAGGAGGAGGGGCGGGTGCAGATTAATTAATAAATTCATACAGCCACAGCGGACGCCTTTTATTGCTGGGGTCCAGCATTAATAATCTACTTTTACAATCCCAACGGACAGCAAACATTTAAGAAGAAAAAAAAGCCAAAGAAAGAGAAAGAACAATCACTTACCAGTCTCTTTTTATGTGGGGAGCCTTAGAATTTGCAGACGCTGCCAGTCTGCCTTTAATTAGTTGCACCTCACCCCTTAACACAAAGAAACACAAATCCAGATGTGTCTTGGCAGCTCCCAATTACAACTTTAATACTTGTAAACAAACTGTTGGGGAGGGGGGTAAATAAATATGCGGAGCAAAAAAAAATACCTGTAAATGGCTTTTTTTTTTTT